CCCCCCCCCCCCACGTCTTGCACCCAGCAGGATTGGTCAGATGGTGTAAACAAGACTGATTACAAGGGGCACAAGGTCAATCAGGTGGGTTTCGGTGTGGTGGTGCGGGGTAACCATTGACGGTCTGGTTATTTCACAAGTAATTATGTAACAATTAAATATTATTTCAAGATTTCCAGAGATTTCAACTTAAAACACAGTTTGAATCAAATTTTACATCTTTTAATGTGAAGCCTGTATTACAGTATTTATAACGATATTTTATTTTTATAAAACAAATTCTTACCGCCATAAACGCCTCCTCCACCGGAGCTGGGATGGAACGAACCGGCGGAAAGGCGGGTTCCGCCAAAACGATATCGAACGGAACATGGGGGATAAACGGCAGGTTTCTACCCGGTGCACCCCGACCACGTCCCATTCCCCGCCCTCGACCAATACCTCCGCGCTGCATAACCATTTTATCTGAAATGAATTCCACACATTTTGGCGAATTTTACTTTTTCAAAAATATTTTTGTTCAATATTAGAACAACGGTTATGAATAACTAAATCAAAACTCTAAACATTAACGCGGTTAAAATTGACAATTTTCAAGAAACTAACATTTCGTTAGATTTAAACAAGTCAAAATTTAACAATTAACAATTCATTTTTTTGTAATGAGGGACAAAGGTAATAACGTGGTTTGATGAATATTTTCTAAAAATATTTACAAAAAAACGAAATTTAAAATGGCCGACACTAGTGATTAATATTGTCTTCATAAACAGCGTCGACGTAGGTTCTCGTGGATTCTAACCTAGCAGAAGAAGTTAAAAAAATTGTAAATAAAAAAATATATTGAAAAAATGAAAAAAATATAAAAAAAAGGAAAGGCAGGATGGAAAAACGAATAAATGGATAAATAAAAAGATGAATGAATGAGTTGAAAAAAAGTTTGAATAGAATTGGCTAAATGAATAAAAAATGAAAAGAAAAAAAAGATGAATTATGGGTGAACAAAGCATGAATGAAAGGATTAACAAAAACAGGAAATAACAAATAAATGAATGAATGAATTTGAACCCCTGCCTGCAGTACACTATAAGTACATAAGTCTAGCTGAGGTGATCCTTCAGGTACTTTGACATACTGTACACAAACACAAATTAGTTATATTAATCAAATTAGACAACTTATAAATCAAATAAGACAACTGATGCGAGATATTTAAACCTTTCTGATTTCTAAAAGGTATGACTAGAATATGAAAATAATTATACACTTTAGAATTTACCCTTCAGAAAGGACTAAATGGGAAAACATTGATGCCAATTTTCCATCTAAATGCAAATCCTAATTCAGAGTCAAACATTTTCTTTAGATAAATCATATTTCTTTAGATCAAGAGAAAATTGTGAAATAAAGGAAGTTGGTATTGAAGGGTGGAGACAGTTTGAATTACTTTCTTAAATTGGAAAAATGAGAAAAAGAAGAGATAAAAATAACAGCGTTAAAAAACTGGTTCAATATCCCACTTAACAAAGGGTGAGCCTGGGTCTTTGAACATAAACTTAGTGTATAGTGTGGCGGGAAATTAAATGATTTTAGGGTAAAAAAATAAATTTATGAGTAGTGAGTACAATGTATCAAAGAGAAAAAAAAAATTAAAATTTTATATGATGTTCGATTATTCATTGTTTCCCCCAATTCCTCAAAAATAATTCTGAAAATTACACCCCTGAAATATATGATTTGAGAATCTGAAAATTATACAACCCTGAAATATGTGATTTGATTTGAAGATTTGTGATTGAGGTTATGGACAGTGAACATTAGTTTGTGTTTCCTGAAAGCTCTGATTTTCTCATTCCCGAATACAGGTTCCATCAGAGCGTCAGGGGTGAAGAACTGCTTGTTCTCCGGGTCCTGCAGCTTCTTCTCCTATACCAGGACAATATAGGAGATGGGATGGAATTGGTAGATAGAACAGGAGTAGGAGATAGGAGAAAAGTAGGAAATAGGACAGAAGTAAGAGATAGGACACGATTAGGATACAGGACAAGGCCAGGTGTAAGAGAAAGGACAGGTGCAAGAGATAGGACAGGTGTAGGAGATAGGACAGGAGTAGGATATAGGACAGGAGTAAGAGATAGGACAAGAGTAGGAGATAGGACAGGAGTAGGATATAGGAAAGGAGTATGAGATAGGACAATAGTAGGAAATGGGACAAGATTAGGAGATAGGACCGGAATAGGAGATAGGACAAGAGTAGGAGATAGGACAGGAATAGGAAATAGGGCAAGAGTAGGAGTTAGGATTTTTTAAAGAGGACAAAATTTTAGCCAGAAAAATATTAAGAGACATGAGAATTTTTTTTATTACTATGTAGTTTGGACCCGCCTAACCAGAGTAGGTTGTTTTAATTGATTGGCCCACTATAAACGAATGAGAATTGCAGATAAAAACAATGTACATTGTACATTTTATACATATGAATGATGATATATCAGGAAAATGGTAAGGAGGAGGTGAGGGAGTATAAGGTAAAGGGAGTATACTCAGCGATAAGGATAAAGTGCGAGATTAATATTAAGATGATGGGACATGGTCATTGATCAGAGAAATAACATAACATTTCATGGCCACAACAAAATGTATTGCAAAGGGTAAGAAAAGATTACTTAAATGACAATAATAACAAAAAAATTAGAAATTGGAAAAACTGTATTAAAATCCCTTACCTTAAGGTATGCCCAGAGACGTTTCACCACCTCTGACCTAAATAAGGGATAAGCTTTATCATGAGAGAAAAAGAAAAAACTGAAAGTCAATTTAATTTTCTTACCAGAAAATAATCTTTGATCTGAGGAAAAATTCACAAAAAATCAGACAAAAATAAGTAAAAAGGATCAGTAACACTTCATAATCTTTTTTATTAGGATCTATAGCTCAGTTTAGAAATGAAGAATTGATCTGCAAGAAATCACCAACCTTGCCAGTTTCTCATCTTTCCCAGCTCCGACAATAGCTGAGAGCTCGGCAGATAGTTTCATTGGTTTAGTGAGTCCGCTAGGCTTCTTGGGAGCAGCTCCCTCAACCGGCTCCTTTACCACCCTAGATCACAGGGGATTATTTAAATATATTGGAGCAGAGTTGTCACGGTAGGGAGGAGGTGCACTGCAAGGGCGTCATAAGCCCCGAAAAATGGTCGCTATGTCTCCAAGTCTCTGGATTCGCAGAAGAATATTTAAAATTTTTAGAAAAATATTCAATATTTCAATCTTATACTATGCTTTTTGGATATTTAACACTGCATTACTATTTAAAGATTAAAAATTTTCTCTAAAAATATATTTTATTACTTCTGTAATATCTATTCAAACATTTAGGGTTGGCGCCAGGGTCATTTTAAATACGTATCTGAGAATACGCAGGCTTGGAGACCATTTTGCGGGGCTCATGGCGGCCCTATACACCCTCCCTCGTCCAGGGCGGAGAAATTTATTAATCAAAGGATTACTTAGAATTTGGAAGATAGTGAAAATAATTGAAAAATGGCTTGAGTTTAGGAAAACGGGAAGTTTTGGGAGGAAGTTTTCTGATAATAGAAAAAGTTATAATTATTTACTTAATAAGGAAGTTAAAGGAATTTTACTTTAACAAGGGTTCCCAAGACTAATTTTGCCTCAAAAACATCTAGAGCGCAGCCAGGAATATTTTGCAGCCAAAATTTGATCGTCAAATTTACTTAACGCCATCTGTTGGGAGAATCAGAGGTCGGTAATGTTCAAAGACCGGTAAAGTAAATAAGCTACTTTTGATCAAATATCTAAAATGATAAATGACAACTTTTTTAACACTTACTTTGGTTGCTTTGGTGCTCTGGGCATTTTGATAACTTGGATTGATAAACTTATCTGAAAAATTGGTATATTAATTTTAAAGTTAAGCTATATCGTCATATCACATGAAGTTGTACATTACAATATATTTAATAATTTAAGTTTAACGCAAGTTTACTTTAAAATTCCATCGAATTCATTTCATAGAAACCATTTCGATTTTTTTCTTGCTTTTTTATTATGTGCCGCATTTCCAAATAGAAAAAATGCCAAGCTTTTTAATACCAAAACCTTGCATAAAATGTCTCATGTTTCACTGTTCCTTAAAAACGCTTAACGCCTTTTTGCCTACACTAGGCACTGAAGAATTAAATCTGAATTTTTGGTAAGAAACTCGACAATTAGAGTCTCGACGTTTTCATGAGATCTTGATGCTTGTCTCTTCATAGCCATCTTGAAGTCCTCCTTCTCCCCTCTGTTCGCTCCCCGGGTCCCTGGTCGCGCAGTGCCTTTCACCCCTAAACAAATTTAATAATAAATTGCAACACTTCTTAAAGGGAGTGTCTGGCTAGACATGTTAGTTGAGCTGAGAGTGCAGTATAGTAGAATTTTTTTTAGAAATCATTTGAGGCCTACAAGACGTTTGTACGGTGTATAATTGTTATGTAAGAGGGAAAAATCAATCTTAAAAATCCTCCTGGCGCTCGTCCTCAGACAGGGTGAAGCGCGGCACGTAGTCTACGCAGTTCAACTATGTCTTGCTGTTCATTAAATCTGAGCCTAGTTTATCTAATTGCAAAACTATCAATAAAGACAAACTTTATAAGTTACTCTATCGACTTACTTGGTGAAGCAATACTGGAGTACCCTGATCTCCTATACTGAAGGACTGAATGTGAAACCTTGCCTCTCTCTGAACTTTGGAAAACTTTGGAATAGGAAGACGACATTGAAGTGTTTTACTTTTAAGTGAAATACGTCCAGTTTATTGGATTATTTAAAGCCACAAATTGAGTCTTTTTTAAAGTAGTCTTTCAATTCCAGAGTTTTCTGGTTCTCTCTCTACTAAACAAAGTACATAGAGGAATATCTAGAACTAGCCCCCCCTCCTCTAGGTGTGCTAATCTCTCTCTACTAAACGAAGTACCTTGAGTAATATCTAGGACTAGCCCCCCTCCTCTAGGTGTGCTAATCTCTCTCTACTAAACGAAGTACCTTGAGTAATATCTAGAACTAGTCCCCCTCCTCTAGGTGTGCTAATCTAACGAAGTACCTTGAGTAATATCTGGAACTAGTCCCCCTCCTCTAGGTGTGCTAAGCTCTCTCTACTGAACGAAGTACCTTGAGTAATATCTAGAACTAGTCCCCCTCCTCTAGGTGTGCTAAGTTCTCTCTACTAAGCGAAGTACCTTGAGTAATATCTAGAACTAGTCCCCCTCCTCTAGGTGTGCTAAGAAATGTTAATTCCTCCAATATATCAATATTTATCACAAACTGGCTGAACAAAGGATACGCTAAACCCTGAAAAAATGTAAATATTACAAATATTGAAATAAATACGCAAACTTTCTCAAACTGATTTACACCAAGAATATCTTAATATAAAAATCAAAACTTTGCAAGTTTTAGAAAGCTACAACTCTAAAACTAAAGCTGGGAAGTTACCAAAAACCAAATCCGCTAATTGCGATTCAACGAATAAAACTTTAGAATGATTGTTTCCCCCCCATCCCACTTCCAAACAAAAATTCAAAATAATAATACTCCTAAAGCTGGAACAAAAATCTCGAATGTTATGAAATATTCGTTATTTTGTTTTCTTGTCTAAATGTATTTAAATTACTATTTTTTAGTTTTCCTATTTTAGCAAATAACACTCTGAATAACAAATTCTGCCCCTCGCAAACATACCTACAATTACGGAGAAACAAATTCAAATGGGCATTGGAGGGAGGGGGGAAGCAAAAATAGATTTTTCAAGAAAACATAGATTACTTTTCTTTATTGGACATACCTGCTTCATCTTGATCCTGTGAAGAGTTAGGTAAAGAAGATCCCGCATACTAGGCCAATCACACTGTACTAGTACAAGCATGTGTCCTAGTGCCATGTCTCCTAGGATAAATTATTATTATTTTTTAAATAAAAATCTTTATTGAAAAATTACTATTTTAGTTTAAAAATTCCTAGCATTGAGAGAAAGCTGGACTAAATATTTCAAAGTGGGGATGGGGGGTGTCAAATGCCTACCCCCAGCATCTAGTAACTTTTACCTCCTCCAACTCTTTCCTGTAGTAATAAAGTGAGTATTTTGCAGCAATATCCCACCACGGAACTTTGTGCGTAAGGTAGAAAGCGTAAATGCCGGGATTTCTGCGTCGGAAACGTCAGTTCTGCAGTTCCTGCTTCCACATCGGGTCTATGAGACATAGTGTCGTAGTTGTTTAAGCATTCAATAGCACTTTGAGCAGCTGACCTGAAACATCAAGATGAAAGATTTCATTTAAACCTTAAAGTAATCTCAGAGGGTAAAACTTTTGTTAAGGTTACCGTTTAGCTTCTCTTCGGCAACTAAACTCGACATCCAATTCCAGTGTGGGTGTGAAAAATTGTTCATTACTGAAACCATTGAGGGTATTTAAACTTAGGTTTGGAGCCTGATGAAGGGTTTGATACAAGTTTCGCCCTCATGTTAAGAGAAAGAGGGGTTGGAAAATTAGTATTTTTGGGTTCGAAACGGTGATAATTATCTAAAAGCTTGCCTATGATCTCCCATACAGTACTGAGCAACACATAGCTTGAGATGGGTCCAGGCAGCATCCTTAGTTTCAGGACCTAAATTGTAACTAGGTTAAACCAAGGATTAGAAAAAGGATTAAGAATAGGATTAAGAATAGGATTAAGAAAAGGATCAAGAAAAGGATCAAGGAAAGAATCTAGCAAAGAATCAAGGAAAGGATCAAGGAAAGGATCAAGGAAAGGATCAAGGAAAGGATCAAGGAAAGGATCAAGGAAAGGATCAAGGAAAAGATCAAGGAAAGGATCAAGGAAAGGATCAAGCAAAGAATCAAGGAAAGGATCAAGGAAAGGATCACGGAAAGGATCAAGGAAAGAATCAAGGAAAGGCCGAAAAGATCAAGGAAAGGAATATTGAAAGGATTAAGGAAAAGATCAATGACAGGATTGAGAAAAGGAAAAAGGAACTGAAAAGGATAAAGGAAAAGATACAGGAAAGGATAAAGAATAAAGAGAAAGGATAAAGGGTAAAGGAAAGGTTTTTGGAAAGGATAAAATGTAAAAAATATAATGATAAATGGATGAAAGGATAAACAGGATGAATGACTGAAAGGATTAAATGTAAAAAATATAAAGATAAATGGATGAAAGGATAAACAGGATGAATGACTGAAAGGATAAAATGTAAAAAATATAAGGATAAATGGATGAAAGGATAAACTAAATGAATGACTGAAAGGATAAAATGTAAAAATGAAAGGATAAAATGTAAAAAATATAAGGATAAATGGATGAAAAGATAAACAGGATGAATGACTGAAAGGATTAAATGTAAAAAATATAATGATAAATGGATGAAAGGATAAACTAAATAAATGACTGAAAGGATAAAAAAGGAAGATTATGCAAGAAGGAAAATACGAAGGAAACAATGTTTTTTACCTGAGAAAAGATATTGTCTAAGTTCTTGTAAACATTCACGAAACTGTCCGGTCTAAACATAAACAATAAACTAAGTATTAACCATTAAAACATAGGACTGATAGTCGTCTTTCTTCATTTCTCGTTGGAAACAGGTTTTGTATTTATGCAAAAATAGTCTTTTCAAAATGTTCATGGTTAATTTTTAGGAGATAATAAAATGGTAAAANAAATCATCAAAATTATACACTCCTGTTAGAGGGATAGAGGAGAGGGGGAAATAACTTAATATGAAAAAGAGTATTTAAAATATTGTCTACCTGTAGTAAATAGTCAATATTAAACTTGGTAACAGAATCCAAGCTTCCACAGCTGGCAGCTAGCTGGTTCAGTAAACTATGGAACCTATACAATACATACAATTCATTTATTCCTCAATTAATTTTATCAGTTCATTCGATCAGTTTATTCAATCAATTCATTTTATTATTTTAATAAATCGTTTACTGATGATAAACGAACCAAAAAAACTGATTAGTTGTTAAAATGTAAGAAGATTGAAGATATTGATCTGACATTCTCCAGAATTCCCAAAAAAAATACCGCAGAAGAAACCAATTCAAATGATGTTAAAATTTCTGCGTAATTTCAAATCTGGTAAATTCGAATGCCTTACTTGGCGGGCGGGGAGGGAGGAGATAGAAGCTGCCACGCCCCGCAGGCAATCTTTAAATAAATATATTTTCATTAATAATTATAATGATAATAATAATCAGCGTCCACCTCTTTAATCTTAGATTTCAGCCTTGAGCTCACTTAAGTTTAAGTTAAGTTAATGTGACTGTTAACGTATTTCAAGTGGTCTTTATAGTTCTACGTCCGTTTCAAAAATGTAATTTTGAAAGCTTTGATTGATCAAGAAAATATGTTTCCATTGTCCGAATTTAATGAATTTAAGCCGCGTCTCAAATCCCCAAAAAACCAGACTTAAAAATTGAATACAATTTAAAGTGAAGTCGCGGCCCAAATTCTTTAAATTCGGCCTCATGTGTCTTTTTTTTGAAATTTCATTACTTTTATATGTAGTTTCTCCACAAAATTGACTCGCAGTTTTTTGTTCACAGAAACAACAGAGATCATTGTCAGATTTAATCAATTTTCAAATTTCAAGTTGATAATTTTGAACAAATCAAATTGTGAAATAATACAAAATAATATAATTTTCATATAAGTTCCTTAAACTCGAGAATATATAAATAATAGACATATTAAAAAAATCATTAAATTGACTCGCAGTTTTCTGTTTACAGAAACAACGTTCATTGTCGGATTTAATTCATGTTCAAATTTCAAGTTTAATAAACAACAACATCTTATAAACTATGTGATCAGATTTAGGTTTAAGGTTTAAGGTTTGGGAATAAACAGTCCGTTCAGGGCACACAAATTTTTTAATAAAAATAAAAAAATTGGATTTTAAACTATTAAAAAAAATTGCGCACATAAAAACAACGAAATCGATTACATTTTGAAAATATGAGAATAATAAAGATAAGTGCTAACTTTAACTTAAAAATAAACAATTTTGAACAAATCAAATTGTGAAATAATTAAAAATAATATATAAATAAGTTCCTAAAACTCAAGAATATTTAAATAATAGACATAAAAAAAATCATTTAATTGCTTAATGGTTGAAAAAAAATGTCCATAAAGTTGCTACAAGTCTAAAATATGACTAATACAAATATAAAAACAAATCAAATTGTTAAAATAGTTAAAAAATCATTCTTATTAAAGTTGCTGAAAGTCTAGAATTTGACAAATACAAATATTGACTTGTTAATAAAAACTATTTTAATAAAAATGGGACCTCAAACTCTTGAATTAATGGATCCTCCAGAGATTTTGAGGACCCGTGAGAAAGAAGCGGGGTTAGAGTTCCATCCGTCGTCTTCCGTCGTTTAGTTTTACCGTCATTCTCATGCGTCACAAACGCTTCAACTATTAAAAAATACAATTAAATAATTTCACTAACGAACAGGGGTGTTTATTTTCTTTAAATATAATCCCCCTCTTTTAAAAATCACTCCTCCATCCCCCCGCGCCGAAGTTAACAAAACGCAAAATTTTTGAATGGCGGGGGGGGGGAAATTCTAAAAAATATTTACCCAACATTATTTATAAATAGTAAATACATTTTGAAGTTCAAACTACTTTTAACTTCATAAAAGTAGGCTATTTGTTTTAATGTTTACAAATATCAAAATCTTAGGCGACGTTTAACCTTGAACGAAGACGACTTTCAATCATGCCGTTTTATTCCAGTTCTTACGGTATTTTGACTGAACTCACCTAAAATGCATTTGTTATCCCTTGAGTTGATTAAGGCTGAATACTGATAAATGGCTTGAAAACACGTCACTAAATTCAATGTTAACATTTGATAGCACGGTTCAATTCGGATACAATCTTCTTTAAATGCAAGGATACCGTGGAAAAGTCTGTTAAATATAAGACTAGTATTTAATTATTTTCATTTTTGTCAAATATTGAAGTTATACTTTCAGAAAACAAAGAAAATCTCACTGTCTTTCTTTATATGAAATTAACATCGGAAAGTTTCATTTTCCTGAACAAGTGCCCTGAGCCTGAGTGAACATATTTAGATAAAAACGATATTCCTTGTAGTTTTCTGGTTTTCAATGTTTAAAGCTCAAGTTTTTCGGCCAAACTGCGTACATATGTTACATTCCTAAAGCGCAGTAGAAGAACTGAAGGAATTCTCCGGATTCAGGATCTGATTGAAGTGCTCCCCGTATCCCTTAACATTAATAACTTGAAAGGGACTGTAAGCGTAGTTTAAAGTAACCTTCAACTCCATCCCCGATTCACAACGGTACCCTTAAGACCAAGAATGACGGGACTATAATTATGTACATTCGGATTATTGAAAACCTGGTTGGACAACAAAATTCTGGATTTTCCTGCAGTAAATGTGACGTCATCCAGGTTGAGTTCACACACTTAAACTAGATTTATTTTTACGGGTGTTTACAAAGTGTTTAAGACCGATGATAAGTTAAATTTAAGGTCTAGGGTATTGTTGTGAATTGGAGGGAAGGGGTCACATTAGATTACGCTCAGGTCGCTTTCAGGGGATTGTTGAAGATATATTCTGGCTTAATTATTACAATATCAACATAACAAAAAGTTTTGCCATTCTTTTAGCCAGGGCCTGTTCTGATTGTTTAAGTCTAATAAACGCTAAAACGGGTGAACCGATCAGGCCCTATTTTTCTTGTTGGACATCACATGATCCCAGGGAAGTTTAGATTTTTCAAACTCAGGAAAAAAATTGATAAAAGATAACCAATTAAGGTTAAAATCGAAGGTGGGCACGAAGCGCCCTGTTAGCCCAGTCTTTATACTTTGCTTGCCTGTCTTGTCTGTTTGTATCCAATTAACGTTAAAACGGCTCAACCGATCTGGCCCATTTTTTTTGTAGGACCCCGGGAAAGGTATTTGAGATTATCGAATTTCCAAAAATTTGCCGCTCACAAAATTAAATTTTTGAAAATTTTAAAATCCACGAATCTTTTTTATAAAATCAGCGAATTTTTTTGCTTGTTTTACAATGAGAACTTATAGTAAGTATGAGAAAAACATTATGAAAAATTCCTTAAGTGATCGAGAAAAAATAAATTTGGTAGGTACTCTCTGGAAAATATTTGGTAGGTACTCTCTGGAAAACTTTAGATTTGATTTTCGAAGAAGAAAATATAAACCCTGTGAATTAAATGAATTATGAATATGTGGTTTACCGGATAAACTGGCAATGATGGTTTCAGGTTTACTTTTAGAAATATTCCTGCAGATACTCCACCCTAATCCCTTCAACAGGAATCATTCATTCAAATTAACAAACTTAAAACCATTTCTTTATGGTTATATACTTTTGCTTGTCTCTCTGTCCGTTTGTGTCCAATAAACGTCAATATGCAACAACAATTGGCCCAAATTTTTTGGGGGGCATCACGAGATGGGGGATAGGTTAATGGATGATCAAATTTTCAAGGATTTGCCTTTCACAAAATTAAATTTTTGAAAATTTTGGACATCAACGAAATATTTTTTTTAATAATCCGTCAAATTTTTGTAAATTGTTATTGTGTATACAAAGAGAAAATGTTCACAATTGAATAAGAAGATTGGCGCCAAGCGCCATAAAAGCCTAGTATATTATATAACTTCTTGATGAAGATTTTAAATAACTTTTTAACGAAAATTTACACCCCTGTTATATTTCTACATGCAATTAGAACAGAGGTGTAAACTGTAAATCCCACAAATTAAAACTAATTTCAGCCAATTGTGTTACTATCTCGATGGGGCATACCATTAAATTACTAATAACCTAATTACTTAACTATATTCTTTCTTTTCTACAGTCATCGTCGTAAATATCAATACAATGCAGACGACTTTCTATTTAAATTTTTGATTTCTACCAAGCATTCAAGCAACATGGATACTGCTTGTTTACTTGTAACTTGAAATTTAAAAAGCTTGTTAGAACCCAAAACGTAAACAGAAAAGTCGTCTTCATTGTATTGATATAAACGCAGACCTCCGTAATTTGAATTTACGCTTCTTATTGAACCCCACCTAGCGAGGAGAAAAGTAAACTGTGTAGTAGAGCTGGAGGTAGAAGAACTCCGCTTCTATCCCCTCCACCCTTCTCTATCCCAAGCACTAAAGGAAGCACCTCAGCTATGAGAACCCTCCTGTAGGGGTTCAGGGGGGATTCTGTGCCTCCTGAAACCAGACAAGATCAATTAAGTAAATCTTTAAGAACTGGACCGAGGGATTTAGCAAAATTTACAAAAAAAAGAATTTTAATCTCATGTCCATTTCAGTTAACCTCGACTAAATCAAATTTTAAATGGATTTATAGTATTATAAAATTAAAACAAAAAATCCACTCAGAAAGTTTTTCTCGGTTTGATACTTATTTTCATAATTTATTTCCCCTAATTGGAGATTAAAACATTCCCTATATGCTATTTAAAATTTTAAGAGGGATAGGGGAATAATTTATTAAACAAATATATCTATTTCAAATTCGGTGATGGTGATGGACCAAACCTCTGTAGAGTAAAAAAAAGAAGATGTTAGTTCCACATTTATTGAAAATATATTTCGGTCTGGGTTGACCCTCGTTAGTTCTAACGATATAATAACCATCAAAATCGGTAAAAAAAATTTAAAATTTTTTTTATTAAAAATCACAAGAAAATAAAGAAACAAAAAAAGATAAGGGAAACGAACTCAGATTATGAGATGGAAAAAATATAATTTGCAAATATTCACTTTTAAAAAAAAAATGTTTTAAGACAATTATTATTCCTTGAGATTGTTTCTGTCACAAAGGTTAAAAACAAACTGNATTAACGAATATATCTATCTATCTAATAAAGTTCTTTGCTCACATAAACATGTTAGCTTATGATGGATAAACGGCTGGACCAAACTGGACTGACATTATTAGAGGAACCCATGGCCCGTATTGGGTACCCTAGGGGTAACAAAAAATCGAAATTTTTCTTCTTTAAAATTCCAATTTCATTTCAAGATGTTTTTGTCTAAATTTCTACCTTGAGCCTTCTCTGCTAGCATTAAGGACTTGATCAGGTTCTCCCCGTAGGTCGGGATCAGGGCAGGGAACTTCTTCATCAGGATCAGGTAGAGGTTGCACTTCTTCATCGTGTCCTCCGATCTAGGAGGTCATGTATTTATTTCGGAGGATTATAGAGGTCATCTATTTACCTATCTAGGAATTAGTGCATCAGATCTAATTGGTCATGAATAAGTTTCAAAAGAATTGATAATTTTGATCTGAGAAGCCATTAATATATTAATATTTCTCACAGGAATTTTGAATGATTTAGTTACGATGTATAATATATATGATCTGAGTGGATCACCTTTCCGCTGCCTGTATTAGAATCCTCTGTTGTGAACTCTCCGAGAGCTCTTTGTACATTTTCATCAGGAATTCTTCTCTTTCATTCCCAGAACCACCTTGATTATTGTTATTATCAAACAAAATTGCTGGGGTTGTTCAAAAAAAAGGTTTGTATCCAATAAACGTTAAAAAGGCTGAACCGATCGGGACCTTGCGTGACATCAGGGGAGGTTTATAGATGATCGAATTTTCAAAAATTTGCCTCTCAACAAAATTCGATTTTTGAAAATTTTGAAAATCCACAAATTTTTTTTATAAAATCGTTTGTTTTTGTTTTCAATATACACAAAGAACAAGTTCACCGACTCACAGTTGAAGTAGACGATGGGCAAGGACCCTAAAAGCCTAGTATTTAATATTTATACCAACCTTGAAATTTATTTTGAGTTTTAAGTGCTGATGTCATAACATGAATTTCTCTCCATAATGTTTCCTCGTTGGGGAATTTCTTGAGTAATTTCTGAAAACATCTTGCGCTCTCCTGGAAAAAATTTAAAAAAATGATTGAAACTGTATCAAAAGCAGTGGCACAAGAATGTGTAAATTGATAATGACGGCAATGTTGGATTCACAATGATACCCTTAAATGTTTTGTCGGATCATGCATGAATTATTAATTAATATTTTTAATTTTGAAAACTGAGTATTACTATGTTTCTCTACATTCTGAAGATTTCAGAAATAAATGCATGAATATTTGCAACAAACCATTTGAAAGAAATTATTTTGAAATTATTTTTTCTAATTCGACTTTGACCATGAAAAATTACCTTTATATTTCCTGCTTCTCGTTCTGTAGTATAGGATTCAAACTATTAAAAACCAAACCTTTAGAACGTCCAGCATTACACAAGAAGAGGGCCTCAACTGAATCACGCATTCATCGCAATCGGAAAAATTCCATCCCAATTCGATATCCCGAGGTCATTCCCAATCAGATGAGTCAACAGTTTAAACCGTGCGCAGGTTTAAAAGTGTCCACATTGGATATCAAGATAAAGCGTTCTTCACGATTGAAAATTAAAAAGGGGTTTGTGGCGATAATTTTTTAAAATTATCAAAACGGAAAATTAAAATCGATCATGTATTCCCCCTGGGCAGTAACGAATTGTTGCACTGGCTAGTCCTGTCCATAGAGCTAGGTACAGTACAAACTGGGACCGGAACAGCTGATCCGGCTCGTAAATTCAAATGTACTACGCCTGTTACGCGAGCCATGCTGCGTGTAGAAAGTCTGCTTGTCACCCCTGGGTATTTCTGAGTTCTCCCTGAAGATCTGTACGGAATGTATTGTGAAAGAACTAGTTTAGGAACTGTTTACAGACCGACTGCGCAGACGCAAGATTTCTCGCGGAGTAGTAAATAATTTATATCAGTATATGTTTATTCGTTTTGCAAGTTTNAAAATTCCAAGGTTTAAGGTTGCCTGTATGGAAAAGGTATCGGGAAAAAGAGAATTAGCAGTCTGCATCCAGGCCTGAAATAAAAACGTTAAAAAGTTTACGATATCCGACATTTGCGAAATTAGCAATAACGAAAGCGCTGAAATAATAACGTATCATATTAAATTATAACGATCGACGGTTATTTTCTATATATACACTTTACTTGTCTGTCAGTCCGTTTATATCCAATAGAACCAATCGGGCCCAAATTATGCGAGGGACCTTACGACCCCAATGAAGGTTTTTGAATGCTCAGAATTATAAAAGTTGTCCCTAAAATTTTAAGATTTCCGTAAAATTCTGAATTACCTTTGACTGATAAGGATCTTTGTCCCTAACCTCCCTAGCTCTCTGGACTAAATATTGCTGATCTGTTAATCCGGCCATTCTTTCGTAATATTATTTTATTTCTGAAATGAAACAACTGATAACTTTCCGGTCCTAGACGAAAAACCTAAACGATATTATAAAAGGCGTTATGCACAAAAGAACCTTCTTGCATAATACATTTCTATAGTAGAACTGCGGTGTTATTCGTTTTTAATATTTTCTCCCGCATTTGCAGGTATTCCGCTTTCCTTCCTAGCTCTCTCTCTCTCTGAAGTCTGAGTGTGGTGTATGTCTGTCTCTCTGCTCTCAGTCAGCTGTCCGAGCCGGTACTCAATATTTGGTTTGGTTTCTCGGAGTAAGGAAAGGGATTAATGAAAAGCAATTACAAAACAGAATTTTAACATAAGGGATCTACTCGACCTACGCAAATCCGCTATACTCCACTTCTGACCTACGCTAAATACGCTTTACTACACATCCGATCTACTAGCACCAGGCGCGCAACAAGACATTTTGTTATAGGGGGGTAAGATGGAAAAATTCCGCGTGAAGCACCAAAAAAAAATGTTTGCCCCCCCCCCTTAAATATTTTCAGGGGGGACAAGAAAAATGTGTATTATGCTCAAACAATAAAAAACTAACGTTACCAACAGGATGTTCTATAAGTCAACACATCTGATATGAAATAAAAAAAATCTATTCTGATTAATATAAATCAAAATATTAATTAATTTACAATTTACATATATATATATATCTGCAAATCTGCTTACGAAAACTAAATATCTGCAACATTCCATTATCAGAAAGTGAAGAATACGACATTTGTTGAATTCTTTCGATGTATTCATTATTAAGGGTTTCACTGTATCAAATATGTACATTGCACTCAGACACTGCAGAAATGCCTTTCATTAAAAAATCATGACCTCAAATGAAAAATATTTTCTTTTTAATATGACACATCAGTCACACAATATTTACGGTGAACATGTAGGATTTATTTAATAGTTGAACTATAGTATTGAAGCTTTATCATAATAAGTGGCAGAACTGATAGTGAAAATATCTAAAAATACTTAATAAACCTTTCCCAGGAATTTATGAATCGCTAAATTTGAAATCAGGGTGGACTTTTTGCCCCCCCCCCCAACAGGGGTTGCAAGCCTTCTTAAGGGAGGGGCATGCCCCCCATTAATCAGGCTAGGGGGCCTTGCCTCACCCCCTAGTTGCGCACCTGACTAGCACGTTGTTTTACAGCTGCTAAATGAATTTGTGGCCGCAGCGCTCGGCCCAGAAATTGTATTAGCCTAACCTAACCCTCAATACAATAATACAGCTGGCGTATGTCGGAAAGTTAGTAATGTTGCGTATTGACGATGTAACTTTTCTACTCAGGGGCGTAGTTTGGGGGGGGGGGGGGGGGGGGGGGGGGGGGGGAGGGGGCAGTTCAGATTACCTCAATTACCATACATGGAGATTTTTTATTTTTTGATGAAAATAAACAATTTTATTTTGGTTTCAGGATGATTTTGTTTTTACTTCTTCTTATTCCAAGTCCTTCGGTCTCCGTAGGGTCTCCCCTAGAAAAACTAGCAGGTTAATGAAGATAAAAATGATAATAGTGTATATAATGAAAATAATGATAAAAATGATAATAATAATAATAGTAATAATAATAATAATGATAATAATAATGATGATAATTAATAGTAATAATAATAATAATAATAATAATAATAATAATAATAATAATAATTATTAAGAATAAGAATAAGAATAAGAATAATAATACTAACAATAAGAATAATATTAGTTTTAATAATGGTAATACAAATGGTGTTACTGAGCTCTGATTATATATAGATGATGTGAGGATAATGCAGGACACCCTGGCCTCTATACAGGGCAGCCTCATGACCTCGGTCAGACTTATTCAAGGTCAGGAAATAAAACTGGAAGTTTAGTTAGACCTCAGATATGCCATCTAAATTATAAATATGAAGCTGGCCAAACGTCTGGACCAAATAGCTGAAATTGTTTAGAGGAACCCATGGGTACCCTGGGGTTAACAAAGGCAAAAAAATTTCAAAAATTATTTATTTTAATTTCAAAAATTATTCATTTATTATTTATTTTTTACAGAGCGGAAAAAAGCAGACACAAATATTTTCTGGAAACAAGAGTGCACGATTCATATTTCTCTGTCATTTTAAAATGTGCATTTCGACAAATATTCTAACATCTTATTATCCTTAATCAAAATGTGGCATTCTGCAAGATGTGTTGTTTTTTCTCATAGAATTTAAAAATAATACATTTGTCATAAACTTGCTTTCCGGACCAACCTTAAGAATTAAAATTGATTCTTATAAAATACTGCACTCCCCAGTCGAGACATGAGCTAAAATAAAATACTGCATAATTACTAATACAACTTTGCGACTTCATAATTCTTTCAGTTTGATTTTAAAACCAAATGTAAGAAGGCCTGGTTTTGTTGCAAAATAGTTATACAAACTTTTTTTCCTTATCACTATCACTTCAAAACAAGAAGATATGAATGACACCATGCAAGATGAAATTACAAATAGTTACAAAAAAAAAAAAATTACAAATTTTGTGTTTATTGTTTATTTTAATTTTCTTTGAATGAAGTATCTTAAATTCTTAACTTAACTGTAAAATATTCAGACCAGGTAATGGAGGTTGGAAACAGGTTGGATATTCAGTTTAACTCCAAGCTGGTCAACCTGGACAAGAAGCTGGAGGTGGTTAGCAGTAACCTAAACACTGTCAAGGTAGGAAACAGGTTGGACATTCAGTTTAACTCTAAGCTGGTCAACCTGGACAAGAAGCTGGAGGTGGCTAGCAGTAATCTGAACACCATCAAGGTAGGAAACAGGTTGGATATTCAGCTTAACTCTAAGCTGGTCAACCTGGACAAGAAGCTGGAGGTGGTGAGCAGTAATCTGAACACCATTAAGGTAGGAAACAGGTTGGATATTCAGCTTAACTCTAAGCTGGTCAACCTAGACAAGAAGCTGGAAGTGGTTACCAGTAATCTAAAGACTGTCAAGGTAGGAAACATGTCTGATATGCAGTTTAACTCTAAGCTGGTCAACCTGGACAAGAAGCTGGAGGTGGTGAGCAGTAATCTGAACACCATCAAGGTAGGAAACAGGTTGAATATTTGGTATAACTCTAAGCTGGTCAACCTGGACAAGAAGCTAGAGGTGTTAGCAATAATCTAAACACTGTCAAGGTAGGAAACTTTTCTATTGCAGAATTATCATCAACATTTGTAAAGTGTTTGCGCTAAAAAAAATTTTTGGAGGCTCAATTTAAATTTAATGATAACAATCTCCACAGATTCTTCATCATGTATTTTTTCTTCAATCTAATAAGCTTTTAAAATGCCATAGAAGTTTTTTTTTCTCTTGATAAAATTAGGCAATAGAAACTGCCAAGTACCAATGCTGTGATTGTGAAAATTTTAATTAGGATCGTGCTGGTCAATGGGAGAGCCTTGCTCCTCATCTTCAAGCTCTCTCAGTTAGGACAACTGATATAGAACAGAAACTGGAACATTTCACCAGGTAAATCATGATGAGAGTTATATGTTCTACGGTTAGGATACAGTGAAAATTTGGATTGTTTATCAATTCTAAAAATGGGAGACAAATTGGACATTTCATATTCATAATAGTTTTTTTTTGCTCTTTGCTAAATTTTCACCCTCATAGAAGACATATAGCAAACAATCAGCCTTTTTTTTAGATAACAAGCAAATCAAGTTATCACCTATTGTAATTCATTTGTCAATCTAATTTCTAACTTTTTAAACCAACTCAAATGATACATTTAAAGACTTCATTTTTCTCACATTACTTAAAAGAGCTGTGATAGAGAAAAAAAGTCCCCCCCCCCTCCTATATTATATTATTTTGATTGACACTAGCCCAGTGTCATTAATCAACTGTTACATTAACTTCTGTCCTTTGGCAGTTATATTTAAAGGGGTCTAGACGTTGATTTCCATGGATTGATGGATGCTCTTTTATTTATTCATTTGCACTTTATGAAAGTAATTGATAAATGTTTAGAACACATTCAGACCAACTTAGTGAACACAACAGGAATGGACAGTTTCGATTGGAAGGAATCACAAGGAAGATGGAAGAAATAGGAAGTCAAGTTCAGGTAGATAACAAACTGAAAGAAGCATTTGATGCTCAGTAATAATGTTTTCTGCCATTTCCTTCCTTACATTGAAAAAAAGTTGTAACCAATATTCAGTAAATTGATTATTTTACTAACATGCTAGGTTCTGGACAATAGAATGATAGGCATACAGGACAAGATCAGCATACTACCAGCCATAGAGAACAACATGAAGAACATAACCACAAGAGCACTTTTTCGGTAAGTCATGTGAAATAAATTAATTTTGATCATTGGGCATTTTTAATTTTCATTTCAACATTATATTTTATTAATCCAGGCATAGAGGTTCTGCTGCACAGTGTCAAGATACCAAAGATATGCTAGCTGGTGTTGCAAATAAAGTAAACCTTCTGGTTGACAAGTTTACAGTAGATAGTTCTGCAACAAGCAATGGACCAAACTTTGAGTTCCTTCGTTCTGATCCACCTAATTCCCAGGTGGATTTACTATCTACCTTTAAGTAGTATATCAATCAACCAAAAGTATGTTTCTCTGATTTTTATTCATTTGTCTCTCATTGACCAAGTAAAAACAAGGTGGATGATTTTCAACAATGTGAACTCAGGAATGTAGCTTAAATAAGTAATAAAAATCAAATATTTAGACTACAGTGATAACCAGAAAACCTTAAAATAGGAACGCGACTTTTAGAATCAATTTATAACTTTAAAAAGTCCAATGAGCATGAGGCACAGGAATTGTGCAGTGTAAACAGATCCATTTCACTGTGATATAATACATGTCTAGTAAAACTATTTGCATCAAATACACCTGAATATTGCTACAAACTTGTCTTTCTATTCCATTGTTTTCTTGATATAACTGTAAATATTACCAGGATGCAAGCAGTGTTGTAGCAGATCATGATGAATTAGAGATTGAAGATGCTCGCCTAGCAAGCTTAATTCGTAAAATTGTTCTGCCATATAAGAGGGCAAACAAGAAGCTGAAGGATATGGAAAGTGAACAAGGGAAGTTGGAAACTATTATGACCAGGCTAGAGGAGAAGTTCACCAGACACTTGGAGGATATTAACAGGTTTATAACTGAACATATCCAATAAAGTGATCCAAATCAAATAAAATCAAATAAAATGTTTTAAATTGAAGCTTCAAGTCCTTCATTTATAACTTTAATGACTTCAATTTGATTTCAGAAAAGTTGGAGATTTTGGAATAACAACAACAGATGCGTCTCAAGAGCAAACTCAAATTATAGGTAAACAGGAATTTTTAGAGCAATTACCAAGATCACATAGATAAGTCCATAAAATCCAAATAGTTTAGCTTATCCCTATATTTAGAAGGATATGGTAAGACTCTAGCTGCAGTATTACAGTGTTGCAAGGTAAGAAAACTAAAAATTTCAGATCTTCAAAAATATTTTCTGGTTGATGTACATGTACTTCTTTTTTTTTTATTTATCACTAGTTTTCTTCTAATTTCAGGGTCATAGTGTGGATTACAATAGATTCATGGCCTCTGCATCTCCTGTCATAGATAGATTGGACGCCTGGATGGTTTCTTGGAGAGCAGAAGTATCTCAAAGTCTGGACCGAATACAACAGCAGGTAAACTAAATATTAACCTTGAATAAATATTGAATTGTATCATGGTTTATAATGTTCAACAATGTTTGCTCAGGATGCCTATCATGCTGGGAGAATTCAACAACAGCACAAAGAACTAGAAAAGTTGCTTCTAGAAGGATTGGATGGTCAAAGGTAGTACTAACATATGCATAATTAAGTTCCAAATTTTCCTTATTCATAAGTGATAATTTGGTATTACAAACTAGTTGTTTGAGTTTCTTCTATAAAGTGTCTGGACTATTAAGATTCTAAGATTATACAGTTAAACCCAGAACTTGGGAAGCAACAAAAGAATGTATAAAATGTCGTCTTGACAATTATACTTAAATAAACTCAGTAATTGTAAAAATAAATAAATAGCCATGAAATATGCGGGAACAGTTCAAAAGAGCCCCATATAATTATGCAATTAAATACTAAATATCTGAATTATTCCATTTTTAGTGGGTTAGACAAAGACATTTATATAAAACCTTTTGGTGTCACCAAAATTAAACTGACAATGTTAAGCTTAGTTGCTGTTTGGTTGTTGAGCTCTAGGAAACCCATTTGCATTATTGTAGATTGTTTAAATACAGGGTGTCCCACAAATTATGACAGTAGCTAGACGACTTTTATTAACTCTGCATTTATTTGTGACTTTCAGTTGTCAACCTACTTTCACATAAATGATTTTTGAAAACCACAAAATTATACTATAATGCTTGCCTTTCCAAAATGTGGTCTGCACTTTTTTGCTGTAGAAATTTGAACAAAATTCTTCAAATCACAGGTAATATTGAAAGCAAAAAGAGGCAGACCACATTTTGGAAAAGATTACCAACTCTAAAATTTCACATCTAAAATATTTACGAATAAATAAGGCAAATTGTTTCAAAGATCAAAGACGACCTTATATTTGTTTGCTAATGTCATGTTTCTTGGAACACCCTGTAGCTTCAAGTTCACACTTTTAGTTCCAGATCAGACCTGACAGTTGAGACAGGAGTGGATCCACCAAGAGAATTAGAAACAACAACTAAATCAACTTCAACAACTGAACAAATACCCACAACTACAAGCATTAGCATTGAGAGGACAGAAAATACAGGTAACAGTTGATCTTGGATCAGACGATAACAGAACAAATTCAATCTAATTTAGATGAGGAGTTTCTTGACTGTTCTGACCTTAAAAAAGCAGGCTTTACTGAATCAAAGGTAAGACATGTGTTCTTGATTGAATATTTTCACTCCGATTTGAAGGGTATTCCAAAAAAACGATATTTTAAACATTGTATGAACTCAACCTTGAAATATATATATATATATTATGAGAACTCAACATAATTGTATATATTGGAAGTTTAGCCTTTCAACTTGTTTGAGTTTTGAGTTCATGAATTGATTTTCTTTAAATTTTAAACATCATTAGAGTCACCAGACCAAAATCCATTTAAACTTTTTGTCTGGGGGGTTCTTGAGATCCAAAATGTACACACCAAAACTAAGATAAAACTGGTCCTGGAGAAAGAAATTGTTAAAATCATGATGGCAGAGAAGCAGTTAGGAATTAGTCCTGATAAATGTATTGCCAACATGGGGGGCACTTTGAATTCTTTGAATACAAAAATGTTTTTACAATCAAGAAAGACCATAAACACTTATTAGCCTCAATAATCTTCATAATTTTTGTTCAATTGGAAACCCTTATTTAATCAATTGAAATTTGAAATAAAATGTGAATGCAATGATAATTAATTGCTTTACTTATCACACTGTCATTATGAATGTCAACAAAGCAAAAATGGCAAACTGTAAACTGTCACAACTTCCTTATTTCTTATGAAATTCAAAAATGTCTAAACAATTCTAAAATGTCTAAACAATTCTAAAATGTCTAAACAATTCTAAAATGAAACAAAATTAGTGCTAATATGTCTAGAAGGTCCTTTTATGATATTCGTGCTTCTTTGTGGAAATAGGATGCTTTGTTTAAAGTAAATATAAACCTTAGACATTTTTGCTTCTTATCTTAGGTGTACCGACTAGGACCAGAAAGAGAATATAATATGGCAGGAAGAGATTTCTATACAAGATATTGTAATATGGAATCAGGGGGAGGAGGATGGACGGTGAGTTTTATAACAATTTTGGGTTTCTTGTCTTTCACTGTTTTAACAAAGGTTGGTACAGCTTTAAGGGAAAATTTTTGTGCTGAGCTTAAAAATTAGTCTTTGGAGATATTGACACCTAGTTTCAACCCAAAAAGCTTTAAATGTTTGAAGGCAATATAGTAGGAGGGTAAAATTATCCTAGTAGTGATGTGCATTCAAATGTTTGTTTTTTGCCTCTTTTTTCTTTCAGGGTCAAAATTTACCATTTGCAAATTTTTTCTTAAATTAAATATCGCAAAGTTAAATAAAAGCAAACACAGAATACAGTTTTGAAATCTTGCTAGTTTTATTAAAAGTTATGAAAAATATAAAAATCAGTCCTAAACGATAAACAACACTACCTGGACCTGGAAGCCAGGGAGATAAAATTTTACAACATTTAGGTTATTCAGCATCGTGGAGATTATGGTGAACCCAAACAGAACTTTACAACTAATTGGGAAACTTATAAGCATGGATTTGGAGATCTTCAGGTGACTTAAGGAAAATGTCAAATCACCAATTTTCATGATTTTATAATAACTCGCATGATCACAAAAAATTTCTTTGTCAAAATTTGCCAAACATGATGGAAGATGCATGAATAAGAAGATTCAAAGAACTTTGCTAAAAATAAAATTTTGAAATAAATATGTAAAAAATAATAACACAAATTACAGGGAGAGTTTTGGTTTGGAAATGATTACATCAGCAGACTCTCTGGTGAAAGAGGATTTAATCTAAGAGTAGAACTGGAGTCCTGGGATGGAAGGAAAGCATATGCTGAGTACACAACTTTTAGGTAATCAAATTTGAAAAACAGCTGACAGAGTGGATCACTCTTTACTTAGATATTAAGGGTAATTACTAATCTGACCCAAGCATTTTAGAACGAAGTTTTTTTTAACCTAACATTGTGTTAGCTCTTGAAATAGGTCAGGTTAGATTAAACTGGGTAGGCACAGTTGGATGAGTGATGACAACCACTTGATAATTATTTCATATACACTTTAGGTTGGTTTCCTCTAGGTCAGTTTCCATAGCATCGTAATGACTAAAAATTCTTTGATCTAAAGATTTTAGAGCTGATATATTTGTAAGGTTTGTATGAAAAACAGTAAGTGAAACTTCTAACCTAACTTCTGCCCTAGATCTCAGCAATAACTAAAACAGCTTTAGGTAGCAGAACAGGCAGAATACATGAATAGCATGTTATAAATACTTCACAAATTGAGTATGTTATAATTACTTTACAAAAACAATTATTTATTATCATACCATGTTTAATATCCTAGATTGGATGGTGAGGATTCAGACTACAAGCTATGGATCGGAGGGTATTCTGGGAATGCTTCAGATTCACTCTCGGTTCATAATGGATACAAATTCTCTACCATTGATAGGTATATCAATGTTAGAGTCGGCACACTCTAAAAAGCTCACTGTATGTAAATGAAACATAGAGTTGTATTTTCTTTATTCACACTCATTCTATCCACATATTCAGCTTCAGGAACATACTAATATAAATCACAAGTTGATAAAAGAACTAGAAACAATAAGAATAAAAAGATTAAAACAGTAAATACTAAATAACCATTTGTT